GTTGATATCACTTATGTATATAGTTGATTTAGAAATTATAGAATATTAAAGTTATTTTTGATGTTATTATTACTATAAACTATAAAAGTTAATGATAAGTAAGAAGAAGTAGGTTCAAAATCATTGGTGGTGAATTATGGATCATTTTGTTCAATGTTGAAAAACCAATTTTTATCAAAAGATATATCTTGTGAAATTTGAATTTTAGCTCCAAATTAGAATGTAGCTTGATATATTAGTATTTTAAAATTATACCAAATTTCTCCTTGTTTCAATAAGTAGATCTTTAGATATTCAAAATCCTATCCAATCCTATACTGCCAACTTTTGCTACTTATTTGCACTAATAACTAAATATCTTTCAATTGTAGTGTTAAAATAATATAAAAATTTACATACAATTAGCACATCTATTTATTTATGCATTGATAAAAATTGAATAATAGATGTCACATGCATTTTACAAACCAGCCAATAGTACAATTCCTAATTTTATTGCATAAATCAAAAGTCACCAATACAAACCCTAATTTTACATAAAAATTACAAAGTCAATTCAAAACCTATAAAAATAAGCTTTACTACTCTAAAACGAACTTAAAGCTAATTCTTTGATTCAATTCTTTGATCTCTAGAATCCTCCCTACTTTGCCTTAAGTAGCCATTTTAGTGGTTGGAGATCTGATTTCAATCTCAACCTACAAATAGTCATCTCTCAAGTATGAATCAAACTTTTCTTAGGAATTTTTTAATACAAAATTATCCTTAATTTCATTTTAGATTTGACTATATTAAATATTTATCTAATATATTTTATTTTTATCAATTTATGGCTTTTTTAAGGCATCAGAAGAATTTTTTATAATCTAAAAGGTAAATTTGCTAAGCAACTTTTAATCTATTAGCAATTAAAATAAAAAAAAATAAACTAAGAGGCTTTCATAAAAGCCTTGTTTAAATGTCTAAAATTATTATTGAACCAAGATGATAGAATATAAATCATAATATCATTTTTGCTCACATTTTCATCATAAAATTATGTTACAACACAACAATGGTCTACAATACATAGATAGCTGAATATTTTGATTTTATTGAAGTCAAATTTTATATCCATGAATAATTTGTAAGATGTATGACGTCTATTTGATTTGGTGGGGATAGAATTCATTACTTATATTATAGTATGCATGACTTTGATCTAAAGAAAAATTAATAAGCGTCTGTCAATAAATATTACGTGGACTTTGTTGAATATAATGCAATTCTTCCATTTGGATACATCTTTCTATTTGGATGTCTGAGCTATGCTTAATTGTCAAATAATATTTTTTTTTAAGATAATTTGTGAAGTTGGTTGATGTAAATTGACTTTTTATATTAGATCTTATATATAATATTTGGTACAAGATGTATTTTTTTATTATATAATGAAAATACCAAAACATATCTAGAGTTTAATCTTTGGTTGCCATGAAATAAATCCAAGAAAATTGGTTATTTTTGTTGGTAAAGAAAATAAAACATTTAAAATGACTTAAAGATTCTATAAAAAGAAATCTACAAATTTCTATATAAATTAAGATCATTGGTAATATTATTCTTATAAAGGATTTTTTTGAAATCTTTTGACAAGTATTTTTTGCTTTTTAATAGATGGAGAAAATTTGGCTTATGAATAGAGAAAACAAGATTTCAGTTATTAATTCTTGTGTGGTCAGCATATTTAAACTTTTAAAAGCTTAATGTTGTAGTTGCTTCTACAATACGTTAGACTGTTTGTCTAAGGTTACACTATTTATCTCAAAATATGTATATTATTTTGAGATTATTTTGTTGGATGATGTGTATGTTATAGCCAGTAGTAAATAGTTAATAATTAGATTTTATGTAAAATAATCCAATTTATAAAGGCTATTTAATTTATCTTAAGAGTCTTTTGCAACTATGTAATGTAATTTTTGAATAGATACAATATTATATCTTATCAAAATAAATATATATATAAATTTTTCAAATAAAATATTTTCTTTATTAATAAAATATTTCTATGTAGATCAAGAACACAACAAACATCTTTCAAAGTTTTTATTTTGCTATTTGGCTAAAAGAGGTCAATTAACTTGAGTCCTATTATTACATAGGACTATCCACCTACGGATCTAACACTAATTCTTTATGAGTGATCAACTTCATAAAAAGCCACATAATCTCTTAAAAAATGCCTAAATGCTCTAAAATTTAAGATTCAATTTATGTTTAGTTGACTAATAGTGAGTACTTCTAATGCTTGTAAGATTTTGTCATTACTAGATTTAAATGATTGTATAAGAATTGGCTCATTACATGAGTCTTTTATAAGGTTGATTCTAAGGTTGGATATTGCTCTTGTATTATTTTGATAATTATGCAAAAAGATGTAGTACATTTTTAAATGATTTGTGTAGGAGTATGAAGCATTTACAACTGATAGAACATCAATATTGATACCTTGCAAATCCAAGATATGTATATAATTTTTCTACAATAATGGCAAGTAATAATAATGAGAAGTTATCCTTTCAAAAAATATCAATGTGGATTTCTATTCTACTATGATCTAGGTTGGTGAATCATGTGGTTTTGATTGAATTTTTTGTTGAAAAGATTATAAATCTTCATCATCAACACTTTTTTGGATGTTTTTTAAAATCATTATAAGAGGGCATTGATTTTCTCCATATATAATCTATTCCAAAGTTCCTACAAGATCAAAATCTCCTTCTCGAAGTATATCTATGAAACTAGTTTTTCAAACTTGTAAGGTAATTGTTTAATATTCTATGTATAATTACCTTATTGGATTGTATTTGCTTGATAGATTTGAGATTGCAAAAGATATCATTTATTTGTTGCATGAATGTAACTACATCTTAATCTTCTTCCATTTGAAGATATTTCCACCAATTTAATATATCTATAATATCTAAGATGGTATTTGTGGGGAATATGGTACTTAATACATGCTAAGATTATCAAAGATTTGAAATATTGATAATATTAAGGTGGAGATCCAAAACTAGTGATAGCTAAATCATGGCTTTTGCCCTTCTCTTGCAATGATGAATGGTTTCATTATCAGATTGTTTATGATCTAATGATAGCTTAATCTTGGCTTGCAATTTGGTTGAAAATGATGTAGTAGTTGTTAGTGGCTTGATGAGATTCCTAGTGCTTGTAATTCTTCAATCTTATAAGCATCGTTTCTCTTGAGCAAATAGTCTCAAGGTTATTCATGTTGACTTTGTCAATCTATATGAATTTGTTATTTTTTGAAAAAATAAAAGGGGGTCAAATATCAAGGAGTATCAAGAATAATAGATCTGAAAAAAATCCGCATCAAAAAAAGATAGATCTGAAAAAAAAGGTAGTGGTTAAAAGCATTACCAAAGGAAGTAAGTGGGTAACAGACAGAGTCAAACAAAGAAAGCAGAAGGAAGGAACTTTTGCTCTGATACCATAAGAGAAGAATAAAAATAATAATAATAATAATAATAATAATCAAATAGAAAGAGCTTACTCACTTGCCGTGACTCTACAGTTGCAGACTTAAACACAGATGGTTCCTGCATTAGAAGCTGAGTATCCAACACTAATTTCGGATTTTGGTTCATCCATTACAGTGATCATCTAGTGCAGATGATGAGTAGGGATGAATGTTCCAACAGAACACGCACTGGAGGATGCTAATAAACCAACATGGGACCATTCAGCTCCCGACGCCACGTGATGCCAAGCATATGCTCCGCCTGATTTTGCTTTCCCGAAGGAGGAACGACTGCCACCATGCAGAAGAAGCGAGCCAGAAAGAGAGAGAAAGAGAGCTCTGGATCTTACTTAATGCGAAGCTGGAGGATGGCCCAATTCTGTGATCGAGATTCTCGAGCCTGCCGTTTTACGATGGATCCAGATGCCGCCCTTGGCGAGCCGTGAGGGGAGCCCCGGCGATGCCATAGGGGTGGATTACCAGCAATGGCTACCTCGCAAGGCTTGCGTTGGGAGAAGTGGGACCCTGTGTGGCGCGAGGGTGGGTGATGGATCCACTATCGAGCATTGGGTCGATGCCTCCCCCCCTCGTTGTGATCCTCATGGAGCGTGGTATTATTTTGGGGTTCACCTGTCATCTGGCCCCCAGAGTCCCACTATTGCTCCAAAGGTATCTCATGGGGTTTGGAGCCCGATGTGTGGTGCTTTCTACGGAAGGCTGGTCATAAAGATGTTGGAGAATCGGGATCAACGAAAAGCTCGCGCGACGCGCTGCCGATCCATCGCTGGCTCCACTGTAGAACCGCGAGATGATGCAGGCTCGAAGAGTCGAAGATATTGGGTACTTGTGTTACATGCCCAGCTTTCTCCACGCGCGCGGTAATCGAAGGCCTGTGTCAATTTCATGCGCTTTCGAATCATCGGTTGCCTTCGAATCTTCGTGCGGTCATTGGCCACTCCCCTTTCCAATTCTTCGAGCCTGCATTCGGTAGACCTGTGGAGGTAGATGCTCTAATTTCAAGCTAGTTTGGGAGCTTCTGTACTTGGTGTAGATCGCGCTGGATGGATGGGGAGGATTGTTGCTTCGGCGGTTGATGTTGGGCTCTTTCGATTAGCAGCGATGACTGCAGTTCGACGAGGGGATCTCATGCGATCTATTCCAAGTTTTGTGGTCGGAGGGTATGCGATATTACTTTGAATTATGGGCTGTGTGATAGCAAACTCGAGGTGCCCATTATTCCACGTCGGTATAATGAGTTAGCAGTTCGATTGGCGAGGGGGTCACTCCGTGGGAGGAGAGAATACCTCAGTTGAATAAAATAGTTTCTCAAATACCCGTATACATCATTATGAAATTCCAAATGCGTATAGCCAATAATATTTAAATTTGGGTGTGGAATCTGGATTAAAAAATAAATTGAAGCAGCTATGTATGTAAAAGTGATAATTTCAAATCTTTCCATCAGTGGCATAAATACATAAACACATACATTTCCATACAATCTCAGCACAACATCAAGATCATTTAGCTTTGGCGTTTCAAACCAAATGCTGCACTCAAGCCAAAAGTCTTGTGGACGTTGTTACACCTTCTGAATGGGGTTATGTGAAATGTTAATGAGAAGCCATTGATGTAAAAACCTCGCCTCTTCATGTCAAAAAACCTCGTGCAGCCAATTCTAACAGCTCAATTAACTGTTATGAACCTCGAAAATTGGCCTCTGAACCAAAATCACCTTCCTGTTAGCATCATATGAAATAAACGCAGAGCTCCTCATAAAATTGCTTAGAATAAGAGCAGAGCTTTCTTGCCATGGTGAGGAACCGTTAATAAATGCAGTAAAGCAGACTCCATTATGTAATGAGCGCGTTCCACTAATAAGAACGAGAGACAAACATGAAAAAGAAAGCAAGAAAGAGGGGGGGGGGGACGCATCAACTACCTGTGCAGAAGGTTTTTTTCATATTTGTATGTCGAATACAAAGAACGATATACAAATATTACGAAGACCCAAAGATGAACAGAAGAATCAGGTTTAGGGTTTTAGGGTTTAGGGTTTAGGGTTTAGGGTTTACTTGAGAATTTCTTTTTCTTTTTCCATGGGTAATTGCGACCTGGGCTCATAAGCTTATGTGAAATGAACTTCCACTTTCAAGATTATCTTTCAAACATTGCTATCACCAGATGATGGAAGCTCTACATACATCGAGGAAAGTGGGTGCCACCAACATAACCACCGAGCATCGACCTTCGCACACTTTGTTCAAACTGCCGAGGATTGTCCCTCAAAACTTCTGCAGCCTCGTGGTTGAGGGGGTCATCTGGATTGGGATCCTGCGAAGTGAAAAATAAAAAAACAAAAGTCCATTAGCCACAAGCAAAAATATCCATGTCATTACAAACATCATATCGGGGAAATTAAAATACATTGACAATGTAAACCAACTTTCCATATAAGTTACTTTCCTCCGAAGTAGTGCATCCCGACCCCATCTTACAGGCGGTATTCAACACCATACGTAAGATGTGTTAATTTTAAGAAGTCACAAGCGCCAAAACACATCAAAATTGACCCAAGCAGAGCTCAGAAACTCCGCTTTGCTTCCATCAAAAACTAAGCAACAAGCGGAAGACAGGGCCCAAACCCGTCTTGATAGTGCAGGACTGAAAAAGCTAAGTTCTGCATTCAAATTGCAAAGTACAGGCATGTCTCTTGTAAACATATAAAATAGTTAGGGGGATGAATCGATAACAATCCACAAAAAGTGCCAAAAATGAACAGGTTCTTCGTGACATTAACATTGACGAAATTTGACATGCTGGTTTCGCTGCCAACAGAATCCAGGAAAAGAAAGTTGAAGCCAAGTTGGCGGGCTAATATACGATGTTAGATTTCTTTAACGTAAATTTCACGAAGGATCATGAATTGCTGCAAGAATCTTGATTATCAAATGCAAACGTGATCAGATAAACTCGCCTTCAGAGTGGAGCCGTGTCTCTCTTCAAGTAGGGAAAATTAGATAAACCAATAAATAAATAAGCGCTTACCAGAAACAAATACTGAAGGCCATAAATGATGGAGTTGATGCTAAGGACAGGCTTCCAATCCTCACGGAGAATATTCAAACAGACGTTGCCCTCCAAATCGATATTAGGATGGTATACCTACCCCGATATCAATTCCACAGATCAGGACAAGTTTGTTCCATGAAGTGTCCTGATCACAAGATTCAAGAGTACTGTGCACAACGCAAGAATAAAGATTCTTCCAATGATCGCTTACCTTGGTCTTGCATTTCACTTTAGGTGCTTCGTGAGGGTACACCTGTGAGATTGAGAAACTAAAGACAAATGTACCACCTCTGCAGGAACATATCACCAGCGTCCAATGAGTTCATGGCAACCCCACAAATACCTGTCGGATGTACGTTAAATGCTTTCCATATCAAACTAAACCTTAATGAAAATCAACCAATCACGCATTCCTAATGTATCAACTCGGGACGCGGCTGAAATCTTGTGAAAATCCAGGACGGCTGAGACATGTAGGCGATGCTTCGCAGGATCAGGAGACAACATGCAAATAGTTCCAAAAGCGATCCAAAGACTTACTGATAATAGCCCTCGTCTGGTCGGATGGTGATTTCGAAGTTGAGAAGATTATCCTTGCCATTGGGGAAGTGTATGGAGATAGTCTTGGCCAGGTTCAGCTCACTTATATCTGAAATAGCAGCACGCGCGATTGTTAGACGTCGGCCTGATCCAAGAGCAGCCCGAATCCAACTTCGCACCGGTAGCTTTCCCGAAGTAAAGCATAGAATTCAGATGAACAACAATTTGTGCTGGGAAACTATTTTTCACCAAGAAGGATGATAAATGATGAACAAGGTGAAAAAAACGTAGAAATAATGAAGTTCGAAAACCGCATAGTACAGATTCCAAACCCTAAGTCAATACCAGATCATGCAGCAGATCATGGTCCAGTAAATCGTAACCACAAAAATGGGGCTGGAATGGAAGAAAGACCAAGAGAGAGAGAGAGAGAGAGAGAGAGAGAGAGAGGAACAGAACCTTTCTGCACTCGCAATTCACCAGCACTTTGCTTCTTGATAGGACGGCCATTGTTATTCTGAGCATCTTCCTTTTGCTTCTGCTTCACACTGAATAGCTTAATCATTGTAAGCCCAAGTGCTTCCTGCCCCCTCTTCTGTAAGACTCAACACTCTTTGCATTCAGTGTGCATTCACATACTACGACCGCAACTCCACGTAACCCTCACGGCTCATTTCCGAGCTCTACACTAGAGATATCTCTACAATACAAAGTCGCAGTGACCGACGGGGACTAGCAGGTGCGAGGGGAATGCGATCTCCAATCCAAGTTCTGATTATTTAAAAAGAAAACTACGCTCCTGCAGGCGCACTCTTAAAGGAAAATAGGTGCAACGCCCAATCAGAACCTGCAGAATTTTCACAATCGACAAACAATGCTATGACCTCACGCAGCTCCGAATTCGATCCATAGTCAAAACAGAGCATCACATCCCTCATGTACCAATTTCCTTAGAAACGAAATCCTGTGACCTCGAATTCACTATGAAATGCATGAAACCAAATCGTCCCACTGCACCACTGCTCCGCACACATCCATTCACGATCGCTCCAAAGGCCCGACACGCTACGACTTCTAAATCTCGACACAACCACAAACCCACAAACGCAGAAATCCATCACTCCACTGGGAATATATTATCCTATGAGAATCCCACACAGCTCTACAACAACAATACGCAGCCATCTCTCGGCAGAGCATCACGCGCCTCATCAAACAAAGGACACCATCTTGTGGTGCAAAATTCAAACAAAATACTTGGTCGCCAAGCTACGACAAACCTGAGTGCGAAAAAGGCGAGAGTATGAGGGACGACGAAAGCGGAAACGGAGCTTCAGGCTATGACAAAGGAAGCATGAATCGAGATCGACAAGCAGCGGGAGAGATGCGAGTGAATCGCGAGAGGAGTAACAGGGTATCGATGCGAGAGTGAGAGAGTAGAGAGCCCTTTGGATTTGATTCTAGGGGTTTCGCAACACAGCAGGAGGAGGAGCTCAAGACCACCACAAAACACAATCAATCCCACGACGGAAGCATTGGACGAAGTCCCCTTCCCCCAACGGAGGCGATGACGACGGCGACGGAGGGACGACGAGGTGCGAACGTCTGGCGGGCTAAAATTTGCATGTTGTTGCTGTAGATTGCTGAAAGTAGCACCGAGATCAGAAGCACCACAACGTGGAACTGCATGGAACGTAATGGAACCACATGCAACATGGAATTTCACTTCATAAGAAGGTTCAAACAAAAGGTTAATTAATAACATATAGTTTACAATATTTTATTGTGGCCACAACATGGGCTTCCACTAGAATATATCTGTATATATGTTTGTATATTCTCCTGATAAGTCAGATATTTTATTTATTTATAGTTTTAATTTATGACTTTGATGACTTTTCATTTCGTTTTTTTTTTTTTTTTTTTTTTTTTTTTTGTATAATTTTTTTCTCTTATTTTTTCTCTTGAGTTTAAGGCTAAATCTAAATGAGTTGTTCACAAGTGTAACTGAAGTCAAAATATTATACGACTTTTTCAATTTAATGATGAATTATTATTTTTGAAATTCATTTCATTACATCTATTCATAAAAATCATCTAACAAGTAGATGTAAAGAATAGCTTTTGGTTAGTATTTTAGTATTGTTGCGACAAAAATTATTTCTAGCACTATTTTTTAGTGTTTATTACAGCCCTCGAAGAATTCAGCCCAACAAAATGATCTTGTACATTTATTGACACAATAAACCACTTTCAAGAGAACCGATTGTGCAATTTGGTTGATATGTATTTTCGATGTTTTATGTAGACTGTGAAATTGTTTGCAGCATACATCCAACAATGAAGCATGTAAGAAATTCTTCTTTAAGTGTCCGCTTTGTCAGTTTCTTAATTTAAACCATCAATTTAGTAAATTAATAATTTAAAGCAACAAGGGATTTACCACATCACAGAACCAATACCAACTCATATTCATTTAAGTGACACAATCACACTGATAACTCTACTCGATTCAGAATGCTCGCTGGTAAGCGACTAGATTAAAATACTCACATCAACATACATACACTTGTTAGCTGAACAAAAAATTCCCTCAAACCAAAAATTTAACACAAAAGAATAATCACCAGTATCAATTCTTACAATTTCAATACTTTTTCTTATCTAAAGGATTGGCAACTGCTGTCAACTACTCTGTAAGAAAGTGCCTCTTCAGCTCTTTGACAGTTTACGCACATGGTGTGCATTGAGGAGAGCAGGATGGCAATGTACAACTCAGGATACAAATGCTCCCTCAGTACAATAAGTCATACGCTTCAGAGTGAGCTAGCCGAAAGAAAGAAGCTATTCACCTGACCTTTAAACATGAATCTAAAACCTCATGCTTTACACCTGTTGCCAAGTAAAAAAGGAACGGTTTGCTGAGTGGGTTACATCTGAAACGACCCTTGGCCACTCGACCTTGGACTGTAGTATGAAGCTGAACCATTTTGCGAGCCTGTGGATGGCTGGCGAGAGGCCGAGCCATTGGAAGTTCTAGGACTGTAATAAGATGCCGAGGCGTTGGACGTTCTAGGGCTGAAAAGACCAAGGTCTCCAGGTCCAACAAGAGTGAGAAGGAAGTATCGATAATTTCCGATTGTATCATTCGCAATCATCTCTTCCAGTGATCTCTTGCATTCATTCGCAAACTCCAACTTGATGTATTGCATATCCACTTCAGCTCGAGTTGTAATTACTCGAATCAACGCATCATCGTCTGTTCCTGCTCCTCCCAATGCAGTGTGTAATTCCTGACGAAATTATTTAAACAAAAACAAACAAACTAATGTGAATAGGGGCAATCTCCAAGCATTCAATGAGCTCTTCATGAATATCTCACACTCAAAAACCAGAGTCTAACAGGTTCAACACAAGATAATAATCCGTTGAAGTCCGGGAAAACCCCGAGGAGACGTTCATAATCAAACACTTGTTTTTGATCGAATATTAGGTTTTTCTTTGTACTTGAGAATAGCTAAAACAATGAGGCAATCCAGTTCAACCTCCAAATCCATTTTGAAATTCCTGATAACTCCGTTCGAAGAAACTTATCTTAAATTCGAGTATATCAAAACGGGTAATTTTGATCGAGCCATTTTGATGTCACTATAATAACTACTATTGTAAGTTCGGAAGTACCTCCGCATAAAATTTTGCCGGCTGGCGGAAACACATCACTGTGTATCGTAGAGCTTGTTCAAAATCCCCAGAATTTTCGTTAATCAAGGACTGCGATCACTACCATAAAAATCAGCATGCAGGATCATTGCAAACTCACATTCAACTCATAGAATTTTAAAATGATGTAGCGGAGATATTTATTGCTGACGAGAGGGTAGGCTACGAAGAAAACTGACCTCCTCAAAATCGTGACCGTAATGCTGATGGTAGTAGTTCAATGTAGCCGTAAGCTGCTGCGCGCTCCGAGTGCAAAAAATGCGGATCAAAGTGTCCTCGTCACCAACTTTCCCAGTAAATACCTTATTTAATTGGTGTGCATCATTCAAAGCAATGTGCCTGTCCACGCTGGTGTTCTCGGGCCGATTGCCACGGACCAGTGCCAACATAAGCTACACATCGCAGAATAATGAATCAAATTAGATACCCTTATTATCGATGTCCCAATAAGCCAAAAACTAAGACATCAAAAGAATGCAGTATTTATCTGATGGACTTACTTTTGTGACACCAACTAGTCGTTTGGGAACTTCCTTGACTTTAGATTCGCCACTACGCCAAAACGCCCATTTATTCTGCAAAATTCCACAGAGTTCACGCACTATGAGTTCCAAATGCCTGCTGGAAGAAAGGAGGAGAAGAAAAACGAGACTAAAAGGCAGGTTAAAATAGCTGCCTCAGGAGGAATTGCCTCCTTACTAGGTTGGCAACGTAGGACTGATCGGATACTGAGAGATGACCCAAAAACTTTCAGACCTAGTGTAGGTTAGCTTAGCAGTTTTCAATCTAGAGATTCTTGTATTATTGAAAGTCCCCTTCATACTGGTCCGCGGAATACACATACCTTGGTCTGAAACTCCATGAAATGTGAATCCGTTCCATCGATGTGATTTTCTAGAGTTTGATTAAACATAGTATAATATGCTTGCTTGATCAAGTAAATTTGTGCTGAATTGCGCGTACACACTATCCCAATGAAAGCACGGTCAGCCTTTCTCCCTCCTACTTTCATCAGTTCATATAAGAGTATGGCGTCACGCTCAGCTGAGTCCATCATCCACAGCAGTATACATTTCTGCAATCATTCACGCCATGACAAAACCAGTGAAAATGAATAAGTATGTAAATTCAATAGGGCTTTAAAAAATACTAGACAGGACCTGCTCCCATCAACAATGCCTCCTTTGAAGGTTTCTAGATGCATGCAGGAATGTGTGCAGATATTTGTGATAGATTAGCTGAATGCCGCACGGCTCTGTAGGTTAGCTGAAATTCAGAAAGTTTTAGCGGTCATCCAATGGAACACTGACCTCAAGCTTGCCACTGAAGGCTGACTTGAGCCGCTTGTGCAAGCTCTCCCCGTATACTGTTTGATATGCCTGTGCAATCTCAAGTCGTTGCGCCTGCGTTCTTCTTGCCAAAATTTCAATAACTCTTTTCTCATTGCATCCAAGACCTGTGTTCAAACCCAGGCTGTCACATATTTACCATCTGACAGACCAACAAGTCCAACTGCGCGCCTTCCATCTATGGTACAGCCAAAGCGAACACGGATTCATCAAGATTGTGGATAACTTTCGATTGGTACCTTTGAATGATGATCGTAGATCTTTGCAGTCCTCTTGAAGATTAAAATAGGGTGGCAAAGTCAATGTCCCCATTACCTCGTCCCTCTGGCTCAGACTTCGCTATGGTATCAATCTTCACTACACTACTCCACGCAAGTCACGTCTGCTTCGCTCGCTTCACATTCAGCTGGAAGTAGGAAAGAGATTCAGGCCCAGCGAGGACAACCCTAATCCTAAACATCCTAGAAATCAATCCCTTGAAGCCTAGTGAGTGGTCACATCACTAGTGGGTTCCATTGCAGCTGCGCCAGAAGTCAGGGCTCTTCCCCTCAGGATCGCACTCTTAATGGAACAATACCGAAAGCACAGACATGTTTTGCATCGTGTACCCAATATTGAAAAAGCCTTAACATCGGCCTTTAGGCAGAGAGAGCAACAGATTCACCTAAGGCTAAGGTTGAATTAGGCTCCTCATGAAACTCCCCATACGATAATAGATCCTCAACTAGCACTGAAACGGTTGACCTAGCTGGACAGTATCTCCCTTTCGGAAAATAAAAGAGCAAGCCCTTAAAATCCAAGAATGCCGCTTTAGATATTAACTCTCTTGCTGGCGGGCTCTCGATGCAACGAAATCAAGAGCCGACATGTCGTGAAAAAGCAGGGATGTTGAGAGGTTGCTTGGACAAATACACGGAAGACTAAAGCTTACACCATATCAGTCCTACGATCAAATTCAACCCCCGACGAGAAGAAATCTCGGGGGCAGGAAAAAAAATGAACGTGAGTGGCTAATGAGAGATTTAGAATGAGAACTTCAAGCGCAAAAACCTCGCACACGAGAAAAGCGTGGAATCAAACAGCGTCTGCAGAAGAAAAAGAAAAAAAGCAAAGGGTCTTTCTTGCAGAGATAGCAAAACTTGGGCGTGGGGACTGATCACCGGTGCATCAAACAGCGAGGCAAAGGTTCCTCCGCTTATGGAAGAACTATGAACAGATCTCCCCTACCGTCGAAGGCGAAAAAGAAACAAAACTGCCGGGGAGCCCGCTATGCGAGTACGGAAAACACCCGGATTCCGCAACCCAACTTTGGCAACATCCTGACAGCGCCACCCACCCCCACTGCAGGTCCCAGACGTGACATACGCACCCAAAAAAAGACCATTTAGCTCCGCACGCCGAAACCACTGGCTCCCGACCCCAGAATCCCCTGCACTCCACTTGCAGTAGACAAATATCACCCATCCATCTAACACACGACGATTGCTCACTCAATCACTCACACACAGACACTCACTCACTCGCTCACTCACTACCACAAATCCCATCACAGGCCGAAATCACTTCTCAATGGATACTGGCAACGAGAATGTGCGCGGATCCGCAGCGTGGTATCATCACACCGTGAGCAGCCAGTCGTTCCCAAGGCCTGAGTCAGGACTCGGAAATTGAGAGGAACACAAACAGTAGAGCTACGTCACGGAACGGGATAAGCAGTAATCAGAGCAGCACTAGGTCAAACGAATGTCTGCCTGCCTGCCAAGCGTGCGAGTGCTGGACTGCGGCAACTGCAGCTCGCGGGACAAGGAATGTGGGGATGCAGCCTCCTCCTAGCCTGGCGTCCCTCATTCCTCTCCTCTATCGCTGTCGCCCCACTCCCGCAAGCCTGACATCGCCAGCTGCATCATCTCTGGCATTGTAGCCTTCCTTTCTCTCTGTTGTTTTCCTTGCTCTGTTTCTTCTTCGTCGCCGTCGCCGTCGCCGTCTTCGTCGTCTTCGTCTTCGTCGTCGTGTTCATGTTCCTCGTCTTCCTTCACTGCACTGCAGAGTTCCGCAAATCCTACACCGCCATTGTCGAATTCGCAATTCCGTGAAATTAGGGGTTCCTTCGTGCATCGGCGGACTTCGAGGGGCCTCGAGCACTCCGCACCAACGAACCTCTCAAATCACATGCAGGCATCTTCGTTTAGGGTTTCGAACCCTGATCTGCACATCTGATCGGTGTATTCGCAAGTGGTTGTTTTTAACTTGTAATATTGTAAATTATGGTGCACACTAAAACCAGATTTGTAAGTATATATATATATATATATATATATATGTAAATTCATACATACATACATATACACAAACATTCATATCCACAATTGTTTAAGGTTACACTTCTGTTTTAAGAAGAAAAATAATAACAATAATTATAAATTGACTTGATTTATTTCTATACATAATGGATGGTGTTGTCACACAATGACTTGATATCCATAAAATGACCTTTAAACTATTTAAATTTTATAATTGTTGATACAAGAGTATATATTATTGCCACTATAAAAGTTACTACTACTTTCACAAATAGTTTGTTAACTGAATAATCAATTAATATTGAATTATATAATAATAATAATAATAATAATAATAATAACAATAAATATTTATTTCATGACATATATGTATATATATATTAATATATGTATGTATTTTAATACTTAATTTGTACAAAAATAATTAAAATTATATTTAAAGTTTTCAGTATAATTTAGTTTTATAATTAAAATTGATCTTGTTTTGCAAATGTTTCAAAAAATTGCATAAGTTTAAAGATTTTCTATAAGATTTTGTCAAAATCTCCAAATAATTAACATGTCATTTGACATTTCTCTTAATATATGTAAATATTGTTTAAAAAAAGTTGTACAATACTTCAAAGTATTATATGTTCTAATTTTGATATTTATATATTTTAGAATAATGTCCATGTATTAATAAATGTCTATAAAACATCAAACAAACAAAATTATTAATGTCAAAAACTAGATAGGTTATAGAATATTCAATTTCATCTTTTTCTACAAATGAAAATATAAACATTAAACAAATACACAAATTAATATTAAATATTCAAATTGAAATATTTTTGTAGGACCATTTATCCCTATGGTTTAGAAGTAGAAATTGTACAAGATTCAATTTTAAACCTAGACGCAAATTTTATATGTGTGCAACTATTTCTTTTAGAAATATAACAAAAAAAGTTTGTTTGCTATTAAGATTCAAAATATAAAAACCAACATAGAAGTTTGTTTCAATAAGCTTTAGTTTATTTTTCTAAAGATTTTTGAAGCATGAGATTTGAATATAGAAGTATGTGGTTCTATGTAATAAAACATCTTATTTCTATACAAAAAATGTTTTTGAAGATCCATATTCTATCAAAGTTTTATAATAATATACCATGTTTTTTTAAAACAAAGTATGGTGCATGTTTTTTGTTTTCTTTTTTGACTCATCTTATTGCATTTCAACAAAACAATTCTACATTGTGGGTTGCCTTATGTAATAACTTGATGGGATTTTAGAATACTAGATCAATACTTTTAAACTTACAACATTTGTGTGCACCTTTAATAATTACAAAGTGTAATTTTTAAAACTAAGTCCAATGATTTTAACAAATTGTTATCCAAATAGGTTTAGTTACAAGCAAACAATATTTAAAAGTTAGAAGATGGTAGCTTTGACCTAAATCTATTAGAAAACAACATGCTTTGCTTTTATAATTGTTGAGTTGCAAAATACAACCAAAACCTACACAATATTAACTCTTTTAGGTGGAAATGGTATTACCTATAATTAATCTTATTTGCTAAAGATGTCTTCTTTATTCATGTATTTATTTTAATACTGTTGTTGAAAAAAAATTCAAACAAGTCTTAATATCCTTTTTAGAACATATATTTATTCCAAAAGCATTTTAAATTGAGATTTTAAGAAGTTGAAAAAGTAGCTTGTTATTTTTGAAATGCTGAAGATGATTTTATAATTTTACTTTGCATGACAATTTGGTCCAATTTAGTATAATAATATATAAGAAGAATATTTTTTCTTCATTAATACAAATTAAGGTCGAACTAGTACAAAATAGACATAAGAAGAAATATACATGAAATAAGTACTTGTTATAACCATTAAAGCATAGATTATAAATTTATATGAATTTTTTATGTTTTGACAAAACATTTGAAAGTAATTTAATTTGTTAAAGATTATCTAGACAAAACAATAGGTAGTAGTATATTTTTTGTCTAACATAATATATTATTTCAAAAGTGGTTTGAAGACATATAGTAGAAAGATTGACAAGTTCAATAAGAAGATATAAATAATTTGGTTTTAAAAAAAAGAAAACAATCATTGGAGTAAAGCTAGACAATTAAATGTTCGAGAACTTGATTGACAGTTTGCCACTATATAAGACATATCTCCATATATATCTATTTATATATTAACTGCATATATATTTGATTTTTTGTATTTGTATTACGTAAACTAATAGATTGTATTAATAAAAACTAGCATGCAAAATAACTTTAAGTTTAGACAGAACCACAATTTGAGATACATTTGACAATAAATTTATCAAAGATATTTGTAATTGGTTTTGTTTAATAGTTTCTTATAAAATAAGAGTTTTTTTTTTTTTTTTTTTTTTTTTTTTTCTTCTTCTTCTTCTTCTTCTTCTTCTAATCCTTGATCTACCTTTTGATTGTGATATATTTATATCACAATCAAATATATTTATATTTATATCTTATATCTGTATATAACTCTGCAAAATATTATATTTTCTTGTTTTGGTTGTGGCATTCATCAAATTGACAATTTTAAAGTTATTTCTTTCAACACCATTGACAAATTAAGAATTTTAGCTAGTAGTTAGAATAAAAGCTAAAAAAAAATACATATGTATATTACTTTTCTATTAATTTAAAATTATATTAAAAGTATATTATTAAAATATATTGCTACAAAGGTGTAATAAAATAACATATAGACAATAAAAAGAAATGATAAAAGACTCAATCACTTTTATTTTATTTAAAATAAATAATCCTACATTTTTTGATTTTTTGATTTTTTGATTTTTGATTTTTAAAAATCAAATTTAAGTCCTGTAACTGAATTGGTTTAATTTAAAACTAGTATTAACTTACTGCATATATGAATGAAAATAGTATTTCCCTACATATGTATCAGTAGTGCTTCTAATGTTTTATATGAGTGAAATGTCTATAAAATAACAAATTGCATTGCTCTTGTGGTAATTTTATACAAACCTCGTAAATTGCATTTAATAAGGTTACGTGTCAATAATTTTAATAAATTTGTCCTTAGACTTTTTTAGTACATTGTAATAATAGTTGTTATAATAATTTAGTCTTATAAATGTTTATTTGAGAGGATTTTCAATATTTCTTTAGTGTAATAAGGACTAATCACATTTCCAAATATCTCAATAAAATTCAATTGTATTACTATTTGTTCTTAGAATTTCATTATTGAATAGGTTTATAATTATAAATATAATTCTATTTAAAATAAAAGAAATAGATTTTTTAAACATATATTTGTGTATATATATATATATATATATATATATGTAGAGAGAGAGAGAGATTGTAAAATATTCAAAATATAAAAGCATGATAGATGAAATTCTTTGGCCTTAAATAGTTAGCAAAAATTTACATGTAAACTTATAAGAAAAACTTGATATACATAAAGATTACAAAAGAGCATAAATATATAGATTTAACTTATGAAGTTAAATATTTTTTTCAACACCTAAGAAACTCTTTGTTACATAAATCACTTAATCACCTCCATTTAACCATTATTAAAATTTTTAGAATATATATTTATTATTCTTATTTTTATTTGAGATTTATTATTAAAATTATAGTGAAATATCTAAATTGGAACTAGTAATGTTGGAATGCAAATAAAAATACAATTTTTAAAGTTTTGATTAAATTTCTAATTTATTTTATATTCTTTTATAACATAGGTTTTATAATGGTGTTAAAATATAATTAATTAAATTTGGATGATATATATATATATATATATATATATATATATATATATATAAGAAAAAAAACCACAAGTATTTGATATACTTATTTATATTGTTTTCATAATAGATATTGCATTTATAATTGTTATAGAATTAGAAGATATACTCAAGGGTTAAAACAAACTAAGTTGCCAAAATAATCAAAAATATTATTATAGTTATTTATTGTATGTTAAGGGGTATTTTTTTTAAAAAGATAAGAACTTTTTGATTGGATTTTTATGAAATCAAGCTTGTTTGTTTGTTTTATTTTTTTGTTTATTTTTATAAAAACTTATATGTATATTTCATATTGCTATTCCTGTCCAAGTTATTGTTGCATTATAATTTTAAATTTGAAGCACTTAAATTAATCCTAGTATATCTCCAATACATCTAAACGGGTCATACTAGACAACTTTTGCAAATTCAAATAAAACATATTATGCAAAAACATAACTAGTTTTAGTTGATTTCTCCAAGCAAATAATGTGATCAAATAATGTAGCTCACTAAAAACCATCATTAAAAAAAAAAAAATGTGATAACAAAACCTTCTTAAGCTACTTGAAAGCATCGAAGTTACTTGCTACACAAACCACAAACATTGTGTTAGGGCTCATTGCCAGGAGTAGAGTTTTATTAGGCCGAGAAAAATGAAAATAACTACCAAAACGAAACGAAACCCTAATTTGGGAGGAAGAAAGAGCTGGTCCACGTGAGAGTCCTCGCTCACTCGTCTTCCTCGGAGAAGAGAAATCCGTGAAGCTGCAGCTTTGAGCGATGGAATGAATGGGTGCACAACGATCGATCGAACTCCGTGATCCAGTTGGTCCAATGCAGGCGTAGTCCAATCTGGCACAACATACAGATCCTCACTACTTTTCACATACTGGGTCAAGCTTATTCGGCGTTTGTGAGGAATTCCAACGGACCACATCGAGCTTTCCGATTCGTCAC